AACCATGCAGTATGCCCTGGTTCTGTTTGAACAACCTCCTCTTGGTCTAGGTACAAGCTCCTCATGAGCACAATTAAGTGTTCTGGAATTCCCATTCTTCCAATACTGCCCACAATTTGTAATGATCCACACAGTCAATAAAATATACATAAACATCTTCCTGGTATTCTTTGCTTTCAGCTAAGATCCATCTGACATTAGCAATGACATTGCTCGTTCCACGTCCTCTTCTGAATCTAACTTGTATTTCCAAAAGTTCCCTTCAATATATGGCTGCAAAGGTCTTTGAATTATCTTCAGCCAAATTTTACTTGCATGTGGATATTAATGACGTTGTTAGCTAATAGCAACATTCTGTTGGATCACCTTTCTTTGGAATGGGTAAAAATATCTGTCTCTTCCATCAGGTAGCTATACCAAATTTCTTGGCATAAACGAGTAAGTGCCTCCAACACTGCAACCATTTGTTGAAACAACTCAGTAGGCAATGCATCAATTCCTTCAGTGCAGCTTTAATTTCCTCCTTCATTACCATTGATTCTTGATCATATGCTATCTCCTCAAATGGCTGAATGCCTACTAGTTCTTTTTTGTACAATGACTCTGTATATTCCTTCCATCTTCTTCTGATGCTTCCTGCATGATTCAGTATTTTGCCCCAGCATCTTTCAATATTGCAATTTGAGGCTTGAATTTTTTCTTCACTTCTTTCAGCTTGAGAAATGCTGCATGTGTTCTTCCCTTTTGGTTTCTAATTCTAGGTCTTTGCTCATTTCATTGTAATTGACTTTGTCTTTGTGACAAAATCTTCTGTTCAGCTCTTTTACCTTGACATTTCTTCCATTTGCTTTAGCTATTCTCTATTCAGGGAGCTCTGGCAGCATAGCGCCTAAGGCATTTGACTGCTAACCAGAAGGCTGGTGGTTCATACCCACCAGCCACTGCTTGGAAGGAAGATGGGGCAATCTACTCCCGTAGTGATACTGCCTCGGAAACCCAAAGAGGGGCCACTATGAGTCAGATCTGACTCAACAGCACACAACAACATTCTCTTTTCAAAAGCAACTTTCAGGGTCTCTGCTGACATCCGTTGTGGTCTTTTCTTCCTTTCCTGTTTTTTTTTTTTTTTTTTTCTTTAAATGACCATTTGCTTTTATCATGTATGATATTCTTGATGTCATCCCATGATTCATCTTGTTTTCAGTCATTGGTGTTCAATGTGTCAAATCTATTTTCAGATGGTCTCTAAATTGAGATGGGATATAATCAATGTTATATTTTAGCTTTTCTGGGCTTAACTTTCTTCAGCTTCAACTTGAACTTGCATATGAGCAATTGATGGTCTGTTCCACAGTTAGCTCCTGGCCTTCTTTTGACAGATAATATTGAGCTTTTTCATTGCCTCTTTCCACAGATGTAGTTGTTTTCATTCCTGTGTATTCCTTCTGATGAGGTCAATGTGTATAGCTGCCATTTATGTTGTTGAAAATAAGTATTTGCAATGAATAAATCATTGGTCTTGAAAAATTCTATCATGTGATATCCAGTGTCATTTCTATCACCAAAGCTGTGTTTTCCAACTACCAATGATTCTTCGTTTCCAACTTTTGCATTACAATCACCAGTAATAATCAATACATCTTGATTGAATATTTGGTCAATTTCAAACTGCAGAAATTGGTAAAAAAAATCTTGTTTCCTCATTTTTGGCTTTAGTGGTTGGTGTGTAAATTTGAATAATGGTAATATTAACTGGTCTTCCTTGTAGGCATATGGATATTATCCTATCACTGACAGCATTGTACTTCAGGATAGATCTTGAAACATTCTTTGCGATGATGAATGCCACACCATTCCTCTTCAATTTGTCATTCCTGGCATAGTAGATCATGATCGTCTGATTCAAAGTGGCCAGAACCTGTCCATTTTAGCTTACTAATGCCTAGGATATTGATCATTATGCGTTCAATTTCATTTTTTTTACTACTTCCACTTTTCCTACATTTGTATTTCATACATTCCTCATTCTGATTATTAATGGAAGTTTGCAGTTGTTTCTTCCCATTTTGAGTCATTCCCCATCAGCAAATGGAGGTCTGGGAAGCTTTACTCTATCCACGTCATTTAGGTCAACTCTACTTTGAGGAGCCAGCTCTTCCCCAGTCATATTTTGAGTGCCTTCCGACCTGGGAGGCCCATCTCCCAGCACCATATTAGACAATGTTTCAGGGCTATTCATCAAGTTTTCCAGTAAAATATCAGAGTATTTCACTGCTATTCATAAGGTTTCCACTGGCCAATTCTTTGAGAAGTGGATGGCCCCTTCCCTTTTCCAAGTCTGTCTTATACTAGATGCTTTACTGAAACCTGTCCACCATGGGTGATCCTGCTGGTATATGAAATACTGGTGGTATAGCCTCAGCCTCACAGGAACACAAAAGCTACTTCAGTACGACAAACTGACAGAGGAGTGATGGTGTCTTCCTTATAGGTGTATAGATATTATCCTATCACTGACAGCACTGTACTTCAGGATAGATCTTGAAATGTTCTTTTTGACAATTATTGTGATGTCATTCCTCTTCAACCTGTCATTCCCGACACTGTAAACCATATAATTATCAGATTCAGAATGCCCACTACCAGTCTGTATCAGCTCACTAATGCCTAGGATATCGAACTTTATGCATTTCATGTTTACCACTTCCATTTTTCCTAGATTCATACTTTGTACGTTCCACGTTCCAATTATTAATGAATGCTTGCAGCTGTTGCTTCCTACTTTAAGTTGTGCCCGAGTAGCAAATTAAGGTCTCCAAAGCTTTACTCCATCCACATCATTAAGGTCAACTTTATTTTGAAGAGGCAGCTCTTCCCCACTTGTATTTTGAGAGCCTTCCAACCTGAGAGGCTCATCTTCCAGCACTGTCTCACACAATGTTTCAGGGCTATTCATCAAGTTTTCCAATAATAAATCAGACAGTGTTTCACTGCTGTTCATAAGGTTTTCAGCCAAGTTTTTCAGAAGTGGATGGCCCTGTCCTTCTTCTTCTCAGTCTTAGTCTGGAAGCTCCACTGAAACATTTCCACCACGGGTGACCCAGCTGATAAATGAAATACTGGTGGCATACACTTCAGCCTCACAGCAACACAAAAGCCACAACAGTATTACAAACTGACCAGCGAGTGGTGGTCCCAGCATAGTAGGCACCCATCAATATTTAATGAAAAATACACTGGTATGTATGAGGCAAATAGTACTCCAGATGACATCCACTGGCAAATGAACTGTGTTCTCAGTGTCTTATTTCAAAGACTTTATTTATAGCATGTCTTATAACTGATATTTGACTATGATATATATATATATATACACACACAATATCATGATATATGTATATATATATATATGTGGGTGTGTATAAATACACACACATACACACTGCCGTCAAGTTGGATCCCACTCATAGCGACCCCTCCTTGGGTTTCCGAGGTGCTATCACTACGGAAGTAGATTGCCCAACCATACACACACAAACTATATATATATATATATAGAGAGAGAGAGAGAGAGAGAGAAGTACTGGTGGCATAATGCAATCTACTTCCATAGAGATACCACGTTGGAAATCCAAGAAGGGGGTCACTATGAGTCAGATATGACTCCATGGCAGTGAGTGTATATATATATATATATATATATATATATATATATATATAGTTTGTTGTTATGTGCCGTGGAGTCAGACTGGACTCATAGTGACCCCTCCTTGGGTTTCCCAGGCAGTATCACTAAGGAAGTATATTGCCCAACCTTGAGTGAGAGACAGAGACAGAGAGAGAGAGAGCTAAATTTGCCCATCTGGATCTGCAGATTTGTACATTTCTGGAAATACTCTGATTAAATGTCAGCAAATCTAAAATATAGCTAAAAATGGAAGTACACAATGCAGTAACACAAGTGACAATGTGTTAAAGTCTGATTCTTCAAATGGGTTGGGTCCAGTACAGCATGACTATTTCCCTCTCATGAATGTGGTTTGGCTGTCATACTAATGGTAATAATAACAGCTAATATTCATTCAACTCTTTCTAGGAGCTAGGACCTATTCTTGTTCCCTCCATCTCACAACAATCCTAAGAGGTAGATATCTTTACTAGATCCATTTCGGATAAGAAACTGAGGAACAAAAAGGTCAAGGAGCTTGCCCACTGTCACAGTAAATGACACTGTAAAACCGTGGAAATCTGGCCTCCAGAATCCCCAAGCTTAAACTACGTGAATTCCGACTCTCCCAAGACCAAGCGAGCGAGAACTAAGGCAACATCAGATCCCAGCGCGTCTCAGAGGAACGCCGATTTGAAGGCGGGCAGGCGTGAGATAGGGTATATAATTTTTTATTTTTAAAAAACTTTTCATTGTGTACCAAGGTATTTTAACACTGAGTACTATGCAATCTTAAGACTTCCAAACCACCACTCCTCCAATTGAGAAGAGGTCACAAAGTACGCTCAAGCGCTTCCAGAGGGCCGGCTCGCGAACGGAAGGGAACTGCCTCTATTGGCCCGTCACTCAGCATCACCGGAGCTCGCGGTAGGCTGGTACTGCCCGCCGCTTTCCACGCACCTGCACCTGCGCAGACCTCCAAGGCACTCTTTTGGAGGACTTCCTGAGATTTAGGGATTAACTTTCTGCAACTAGCTTTCTTGTGGAAGGTCAGTGTTCTCCGTGTAAACGCTGCGCTTCTCCAAAGTGGGATACGTGGTAGTGCGCTCTGTCTTGGCCAGGCGCGGCAGCCCGGAACGGCAAGTCAGAGCACCCGTTTTCCTGAGTAACCTCTTTGGAGATCACTTCCGCTCAGGAATCTGTGGTACCGGAAATTCTTCGAAGGCGAACACCAAGAAAGGCATTTTCTGTGTCTGTTGCCAAGGCGCCGCCCTGGTGGGCCGGAACGGCGACGTTTTTGGCGTTGTCCTCTTCCCCCTTCTTGGGGGTCGAGATGTCGGGGCTCAGCCAGCCAGAGATGGAGGGCTGTCGTAATCTGCTCGGCCTATTGGACAACGACGAGATCATGGCCCTATGCGACACAGTTACCAACCGCCTGGTGAAGCCTGAGGACCGCCAAGGTAAGCGCGGATCCTTCTTCCCTAAGGCTGCTTTCCTTCCCCCATACCCCATTCGGACCCCAAGTGGCCAGAGGCTTGAGCGGGCGGAAGACTTTGAGATACCCAGCTTTTTCCCAAATGAGCTCGAGACACTCGAGAATCCCTGTACGCTTTTGATTCATGACACTGGGACCCTGAAGCGGATTCTGATGGGCCGTGGTCCTTGGGGGAGGGTTGACGCTGAAGACGCGTTGCTTCCAAGTTTTATCTTTGAATTTTATGGGCAAACCCTTCCTTTCTCTAGGATCCAGATTACGTGTGTAGCCATTTTTGAAAAATTTTCAGGGAACCAGAAGATTCTCCCCTTTCAGTTTGGATAAGCTGAAGAGTGTCAGCTGATGCTCATACATCTTTTTTTTTTCAAATCTTGGGGGAAGGATATCATAAACACTTTTTATCAGTCTCCTGGGTAAAACAGCCACTATAATGAAAACAGCGGGCAGTGTGTATCCGTATCCCTTTGGATCTAAAATTTTTCTGAGATCATTTTGTATACTAGGAATACATAACTTCCAAGTGTACATTCCGGTAGACTAGACACCAAAGGTTGTTAATATTATGCCTAATCGTAATTAATCCATATAAAAATGACGAGTAGCTTAAGCGTTTATTTCATTTTGTATATCACATGGCTGCTTTACCTTTGGTCAATTTTACTTTAAAATGTGTAAATTCTAGATTTCTGTATGGTGTTTGAAGATAGGGTAGCAGCCTTAAATACCTTCAAAAGATTTTGCTTTTTAAAACTATTTCCCTGGTTATAAGTTGGAGTTACATTTAAGAAAATAATTCATTTGAAACTTTGAACCAAATAATTTACACTGAAAATAGTTTAAGATATATGTGGTTCTTAAACATTTATATATTCTGCTACTTACTTTTTAACAATCATGAAACAACAGAGTAACTCCCCAGTAAAAAAAAAATGTTTAAATGATCTGGGGTTATTTCTCAGGAAAAAATAACCAATAAACATATGAAGAGGTACTAAATTCTTTTGAAAGCAATGAAAAGGAATTGAAAAACACAAGACACCTCCAGTGTATCAGATTGGCAAAAAAATTAAAAGTATAAACTTTCAATGTGGTGATTAAGTGAAGCAATTCAACAGTTGCTGGAGAAGTGTAAATTGCATCTACCAATTTGGAAAACAATTTTTAAACCTTTTTTTTTCTCCCAGAGTTGAAGATTCACTTGCCTAGGCATATTATACTCTAAACCTGGGATTTGTAAGTTTCAGTGTGCCTGTGACTCCTTTGGGGACCTTGTTAAAATGCAGATTCTGATTGATTGGTTCTGGACTGAGTACAGAAACATTGCATTTCTAACCAGCTCCCAGGTGATGCTCTTGCTGCTTGCCCCTGTGTGCACTGGGAGACTTGCATGAGAATATTCAGAGGAATGGCATCAAATAGGACACAATGCACAGAAGTCCTTTTAACAGAAGAATAAATATGTTCTGGTGTAGTCAAATAATGAAACTCTTGTTCAGCTGTGAAAACAAATTAACTGGAGCTAAATATATTGACATAGTTGAATATCAGAAAAGTTGATTATAGAAGTTGAATAAGTGAAAAGTTGAATATATTGATACATTCAATTTATAAAACATTCAAAATGTACCAAATTAAATAATAATGTTTAGGAATACATACTTGTGCAACTAAAAGGGAAAGCAAATGAATGATTAAAAACATTTAGGATGTGAGGTGGATGAGAAGAAAGGAGGAAGAACATCAGAGAGAAGTGGAGTGGAGGCCTCAATGTGCTAGTAATTTCCTATGTCTTAAGTTGTGGGTTTATGGAGTTCATTTTGTCATTCTGTACACCTCACACGTTAAAAACAGTCTTTGGTTGGTGTTTAATATAAAACTTTTAAAAATAAAAGAATATTTGACCTGATTCTGCGCTTCCTAGAAGTGTGATTTTTGACACTGCATGGATTCTCAAGTTTTATTCTTTTTAGAGTGAGTTGATTAGATTTAAAAGTTTCTTGCACAACTGAAATACTGCAGTTTATAAGTTTTCAGGGTTTGTGTATAAATGTAGGTTCTGATGGCTTTATTAGAGAAATAATAATTTTTCTGAGTCAATTTTTTTTTTAAATTTAAAACCCACAATACTTTAAAAGAAGATGCTAAACATTTCTGTGAGACATGTAAGAAAGGAGGGATTTTTTTCTATGAAAAGTAAAAGGAAGGGGGGTGCATTTTCTGTACGGAACTTTAAAGTAGGAAGGACTTTTAAAAAAACCACATTTTAAAAAAAGTGATAACCATCCCATGTAAAAGCAGTAATTCCGTGATAACATAACAGAAAAATTTACAAGTGACTCGTGATTTTTTGTTAATCTTTGCAATTTATTTTTTAGATGCTATTCATGCAATATTAGTCTACAGTCAAAGTGTAGAAGAACTTCTGAAGCGTAAAAAAGTCCACCGAGAGATAATATTTAAGTACTTGGCAACACAGGGACTGGTTATACCTCCAACTACCGAAAAACATAATCTTATTCAGCATGCAAAAGATTACTGGAGAAAGCAAACACGGCTGAAATTGAAAGAAACACCAGAACCAGTAACAAAAAGTGAAGACATCCAACTCTTTCAAAAAGTAAAGTAGATCTTATAGTTAGTGACTATGCTATCTGAAGTGATTTAGATAATCCTAGATCTTGGGGGACATGGTTAATAATATTTTATTGGAATTTTAAAACTTCAGCTTTACTTAATTTCCTTTGCATTCTTCTAAAGAACAATAAAACAAAATCTTTATGATGTTGAGTAATGTATATAAAATATTCTACTGATAATGTCATAATTTTTCTATTCCCCAAATGAGGACTAGTGGGGTTTTTCTTTGTTTGTTTTGTTTTTAAGAGTAGATACTGGAAACTAAACCCGACTTGATTCTGATGCATGGTGACCCGATAGGACAGAGTAGAACTGCCCCGTAGGGTTTCCAAGGCCATAAATCTTTACAGAGTGGCTAGTGGGTTCAAACCAATGACCTTTCAGTTAACAGTTGAGTGCTTAACCACTTCTGCCACCAGGACTCCTTTAAGAGTAGATAAACTGAAGGATAAATTTAATTTTAATTTAGACTTTTAATTTGTTATGATTATTTTCTTTTTCCAGTTTGAAACAATGCTGTTTTAAACCCTTTCTAATTTTTAAGTCTTTGGTATTGTAAACATTCTGTGGGGAAAAAATAAACAATTTGTATAATTGATTTTGTTATTAACTGGAAAAAATGCTTTTGTAGTAATTTCTGTTGCTTGACCTTGACTATTCCTGTTTCTTTGTGTCTCTCTGAATTTTAATGTTTTTTGAATGAACCTTCATTATTTGTAGATTTTTTAAACTGTATACCACACAGTTTAAATTAATGAGGTTTTAGAATCATAACATTGCTTTCACAGTAGAAAAGCATCTTCTAAGGGCTTTTATACTTAATGTACTGAAAGGAGCATTGATTTTGAAATTATACAAATGTGGATTCAAATTAGAGTCTGCCATATATACTGCAGGGAGCTCTGGTGGCGTAGTGCCTAACGCATTTTACTGCTAACTAGAAGGCTGGCAGTTCAAATGCACCAGCCTCTCCTTGGAAGGAAGATTGGGCAGTCTACTTCCATAGTGATATTGCCTCGGAAACTCAAGGAAGGGTTGCTATTAGTTGGATCCGACTTGACAGCAGTGGATTTTTTTTTTTTTTTTTTTTAATTTATATACATCATGTGTGAATTTGGCAAGTAACTTGATCTTTCCGAGCCTTGTTTCTTCTTATCTATGCTTTTGTGAAGATAAAAGGAAATAGCCTTGGAAGTGCCAAGCAATGAGGTACTAAGTTCTGGAATACAGAGATGAATAAGATCAGCCTATCAAATGTGTATTTTTGTAGTAACATTTCCTAGGGAAAAAGAAGATATAATAATATAAAATTAATCTCAATCATATTAGAAGTAATATTAAAAACAATGAAAAGGTTTATTATTATCAACTTTATTGAGCTGTAATTTATATGCAATGAACTGCATCTATTTATAGCATACCATTTGATGTTTTAACAGATAAATACACCTGTTAAACTATTGTCACAGTCAAAAGAAAATGATTATATAAATCATTATTAACCATTTGTTCATGCTCATATTGTAGGAAACTTCGTTAAATTTTACTTCCTAAGCTAAATTTCCAGCTATTCAGCTGGGAAATTTCCAAACTACTTTTTTCCATTCTGTAAAAACCATTTTTACTATGTATGATGGGTTCAGTGAGTTCACATGTCATTTGTTTAATCTGCTATGAACAGTGTATTAAAATTTAGCTCTGAAACATGCTTGGTAGGAAAATGGATATAAAAATTAACTTGTTTTGTATGTATTTTATTTATTTTAACTAACAGGAGAAAGAGGATAAAACTGAAAAAGGCGATTTTCGTCTATTAGGAGAAGAATTCTGTCACTGGTTCTTTGAGCTTCTTAATTCTCAGAATCCTTTTCTGGGACCACCTCAGGATGAATGGGGACCCCAGCACTTCTGGCATGATGTCAGACTTAAGTTTTATTACAACACATCAGAACAAAATGTAATAGACTACCATGGAGCAGAAATTGTGAGCCTTCGTTTGCTATCACTAGTGAAAGAAGAATACCTTTTCTTTAGCCCCAACCTAGATTCTCGTGGACTGAAGTGTGCTTCTTCTCCCCATGGGCTAGTTATGATTGGAGTTGCTGGGACTGTCCACCGAGGGAATACTTGTTTGGGCGTTTTTGAACAAATTTTTGGACTCATCCGTTGCCCTTTTGTTGAAAATACTTGGAAAATCAAATTTATCAACCTGAGAATTGTTGGAGAGAGTTCTCTTACTCCTGGAACATTGCAGACACCAGCTGTAACATTTGAGCTAAGTGATCTAGAGGCCTTTTATAATGTAATCACTTCATGTGGTACCAGTGACGTAGGACTTAATGGGAAGCAGGCATTGGACAGTGGAACTGGAGACCAAGCTTTGTGTACTGAAAATGAAGCATTGTTGAGCAGAAGAGAACTGAATTTGCCTCTAAAGCACTGAATGCTGTATGTCATCATAAAAAATTTTCTATACAGAAACTCTTCCAAATAGTACATCAGTAATATCTGATTCATTTCAAGTGTTGGACTGACATATTTTAGTTGAAATACCTTTCTTGACTACAAATCGGCATGTGAATATTTGCCTATTTCTACGTGAGTTTCAGCAGACGTTCTGAGATCATAATGCAGTTCATCAGATAAATCCCACTTTAGGTATTATAGCTAATGGTGTGCCTTAGAAACAGGTAATGCTTTTGTTTTATTTGATGAATATTCTAAAAGCTGTGCTTTTCAAGTAGGAAAGGATTAATAGTGGTTAGTGCTTCACCTCTTAAGTTTCTCATTTACTTTTGTCTAAATCTAGATAATGAGATATCTTACAAATGCATCTCACTACAGTATTGTTTAAAAAAAAAGATTACATATCTTAGAGATGTTTAATGTAAACTCACAATTCTCATTTTAGGAAACTTGAAAGACATGGCATTCTTAATACAAAAAATTCATTTAGCAGGTGGAAGAAAATGGACTTGTTTCAGTATTTAAGAAACATTTTTCAGAGTTACTTGCTATAGTTCAAGCTAAATGCCTTCTATAAAATCTGTAACATTTTCTGAACTTTTTTGGGCAGTGATAAATGCTGTTCCCGAAACCTTACTCTTACTTGGGCTCTATATTATACCTTGAACAAAAACAGTGTTGAAATTTTAAAAAATGTGTCCAATCCCTAACTTTTAAATAAATTACTCTTCTGGTTAATCTTGAAGAGATTAAAAAAAACCCTGCAGATTTATAATGTGTGCATGCATATGTATATGGATATGCATCCACATTGTGAACTAGAATTTTTAGGAGTTTTTCATTTCTAATTTGTGTTACTATATTGGAATTAGAATGTTGCATTTTCAGATTATTTCCATAATTGGTTTAAAGTTCAAAATCGTTATCATCCAGCGCTGTATTTAGTTAGTAATTTTAATTTACAGAAGGGCCATTTTTTTTGGGAAAAAAAATTCAGTTGGAAAATTGTAATAATATATTGTACATGTTAAATTTTACCTTTAACTCTGCTCCTGATCATCTGGGGTTATATATAAATGTTGGAAGCAGGAGGAAAAACTCAATGTTATAATTCCATGTGTCTTATGAGGAGTGCAAATCGATATGTCCTAAAATAAGAACTTCATAAAGGAGGGGAAAATTCCTTTTGCCTCCTGTAAGAATAGTGTATTGCTTAAATTTTATTTACACTTGTGTAATTCTTAGATAATAAAGTTTTAGGCAGTTAACCAAAATAAAGTAAATCTTACTACTGTTTATTACACTGTCAATATGATATAAAGAAAAGCAATTTGTAAAATAACCACCTCTTACATTTTGAACACATTCAGGTCACAAGTCCACCCCTTCCTGTTTTATAGCTCTACTCGGATTGTTAAAGAATAAGTTGATTAAAACCATATTATGTTTTTCTTCCTTAAAGTTGAAGTATCCATTTTGAAGTGTAATAGGTATATATCCTATGGAAGGATAAAATCAAACTCCATTTTCACCTCTTTTGTCATGCTGTTGATGTCAACTATTGGATAAAAATTAATGCATAGGCTTTGGATGGGCAGGGATTACTTCTAGTTATCTTCAGTTGAATTTTTGAATTTGTGTAAATAAAATCCAAGTGAGACTGCAATCGCTGCATGTAATTTTAATCATCCTGATAGACCAGCCTTCTTTAGGATTGAGACTTACTTTTTTTTTTTCCATGTGAATCCCCATAGCTGAGTGTACAGTAGGGCTTAATGTTTGAGGGAATGACTGAGTGAATGAGTAAAATAGCTTGCATACACTGAGAAAGACTTTTCTACCTCTAGAGCTTGTCTAGTTTTTCTCATTGGTGGGTTTTGATCTCATAGTTTGGGTTTCGTTGTGAATACACAGAAACTTTTAGATCCTAAAATAATTTAGATTTGGGGGAGAACTGTAGTGGATTTAAAGACCTCGGATCAGATCAGGTTATATTTGAGGGCTGTTAAGATTGCCCACAGGCGCTCTGGTGGTACAATGGTTAAGGCATTCAGTTGCTAACCAAAAGGTAGGCATTTCCAACCTGCTGGCGGCTCTGTGGGAGGAAGATGAGGCAGTTTGCTTCTGTAAAGATTTACAGCCTTGGAAACCCTATGGGGCAGTTTTACTGTGTCCTGTAGGGTCGCTAAGGAGCTGTGGTAGAGTGGTGGGTAGGGCATTTGGTTGCTAACCAGAAGGTTGGCAGTTCAAACCCACCAGCTGCTCCACAAAAGGAAGATGAGGAAATTTACTTCCATAAAGATTTACAGCCTTGGAAACTTGTTTCCTGTGAGTCAGAATCGACTCAGTGGCAGTGGGTTTGGTTTTTTTTGTAGAGACTACCTAGAAGCCCTGGTGGCAGTGGTTAAATGCCGTACTGTTAACCAAAATGTTGGAGGTTAAAACTCAGCAGCAGCTCCATGGGAGAAAGGCCTGGCCATCTGCTCCTGTAAAATTACAGCCTAGGAAACCCTATGAGGCAGTTTGATTCTACCATGCAGGGATGCTGTAAGTCGGAATCAATTTGATGGCATACAACACAACAGGAATAAAAAGAAAATACTATAGAATATGCATATAGTATGTGAAGAAACACTACTCTGAAGAAGATGACCTGAGAATTGAAATTCATTCATGAATCCTGAAGTTTGACTAGGCCTTTGAGAAGTTCCAAAAGCACACTTGGCATAGTACAAGGATTGAATTCAATTTTTATTACCACTCCATTAGTCTGTGTTAAGCAATGGCAGAGATCCAGCTTTAGGGGTCTCTCTTGCTTTGGTAGATGCTCCAGTTGCACACTAATTAAAGCACTCAGCTGTAAGGTTAGCGGTTTGAACCTACCAGCCACTCCACAAGAGAGAGATGTGGCAGTCAGTTTCCATAAAGTTTTACAGCTTTGGAAATCCTATGGGGGCAGTCCTACTTTGTCCCATTATAGGGTCACTGTGAGTTGGAATCTACTCAATAGCAGTGGGTTTTTGGTTTGCTTTGTTGTACCCAGCTGGTATTTGCAAAGTGTGAAGTCCAGCAGTAAAGAATACAACCCTGTACTTTTATAGTAATGGGGTGGTCAAACTAGAGGATCACCTCACCATTATTTGTTGTAAGCGAATTTCTATATCCTGATACGTATCCTTTTTTGTTAAAGAAAAAAAGATCTTAATAGTTAAATTAGGATATTTTATTAACAACTAGAATGCTGAAAAACATTTTGTTTCATGTCTGTTATTGACTTATAAACCAAACTATAGGAAAAAAGCCATCTCTGTTCAGTCCCCTTGCACATCAGGGCAGGAAAATGTTCCTGAATTTTCAGAAAGGTAACATTTTTTTATGCTAAGGGAAAGCTGATTACCTAGTTCTAGTAAGAAGTTATAATAGCACTAGAAAGGCACTCAAAGAAATGGGATTTATAAAAGGAAGAAATAATCAAACATTTTATTTAAAATGGCTCTTATGACTAAGTAGATCACAAAAATGAATGAAGCCATACCTTAACATTTTTGTTAGAACCTTCATTTTCATGAATTTAGTTACCCTTTTATTTACTAGTTCTTAATTTGGGTTTTTGGGGAATGGAGTCATTTTTGGCAAATAGATAAAAGCTATATTCTTTCTCCCCAGGAAGAAAATATACTTTGCATATAACATTACAATTTTTGTATTCTTCATTGAGTTCAGAGCCTGCCTAAAGCACTTTAATGAGTCCTATAGGAATTCTTA